TAATGAAAAATAAAAAAAAGGTAATTAATAATTTATTTTTAATTAATAAATTATTTATTTATTTATTTTAAATTTTCTCGTTTTCGTTTACAAAATTCTTATCAACGTACTGATAAGAAATTTTTATTTTTTTATCCGTTGAGAAAAATTTTTTGTGTTGTAATCGGAGATTTTCTTAAATTGTTTTTCCGATACGAACAACAATAATAATAATTAATTATAAACTTTAACCCCGTGAAATTTAAAAACTCACACGCACTCACGCACATCATCATCATCATCATCGCGATATCGGAAAAATATGGAAGAGAAACTCGGAAAAGTCGGATGCGAGGGGGGGGGGCGGTCGTTGTTTTTTTTTTTTTTTACACAAAAGATTTTCCTTTATTTATTAACCGACCTCAGGAAAATTTAATATCTTTCAACGTTTTAATATAAAATAAAAAAAATTATTATTATTATTGTTTTTTTCTAAAAAATTTTTCACGTCGCAAGAGAAAATTAAAAAAAAAAAAAGAAAAAAAAAAGGGAAATAAATAAAAAGATATGAAATGAATGAATGAATGAATGACTGAGTTAGAAATGGTTAACGTTTTAACTTTTCAAAAAAAAAGGTTTCGTTTTTAAGTACCTCGTGGGAAAAAAATAAAATCTTTAGAGAGTTTTTTTTTAAAAAAAAAAATTTTAAAATTTTATATCTCTATTTAACAAAACGATGACGATAATAATAATAATAATAATAATAATGATAAAGGTTTATTTATATCGAAAAAGGTTTACTTGTAATAATTTTTGATTTTTTTTTTTTTTTAACGAAAGAAAGAAAGGAAGAAAGAAAATGAAAAAAACCGGAAAATTCGGTTTGGTGATGAAATTAGAAAAGGGATGTGACGGTTGGGGGATGAGGGGGTAAGAAAAAAGGGGAGAAAGGATGAAGAAAAAGGAAGGAATCAACACACAAAAACAGTTGATGATGAAATTTTCAGTTTTACGCCGCCATGTTTTCCTCTTTTTTCTTTTTTTTTTTTTGTGTTTTCCACATTGAAAACGAGGAAGGAAGGAAGAAGGTGGGGAGAGGATAAGGGGAGGAAAAGAGGAGAGTGGGAAGGAGTGATAAAATTGCTGGAGCGACCGAAATTTTTTTTTTTTTAAACAAAATGTATTTTAAAATTATTTATTTTGCAAAGTCATTGAGCCAAATATTTTATTTTATTTTTTTTCGTGTCAAAATAATAAATTTTTATCACTTTCAGTTACTCACACAAAAAACAAATAAATTTATCATATTATTAATAATAATAATAATAATAATAATAATAATAATAATAATAATATATTATTATTATTATTATTATTATTATTTTTAATGAAAAAAAAAGAAAAAAAATTATGAATTCCATCGAATTCAAATTTGATTTGTTAAATTTTCCACATCATTTAAATATGGCGATCGATGATGATCGACGTTCATTTATTTTACATTATTTTATCGTTTCTCGTTTCGACAGATTGGTAATAATAATAATAATAATAATAATAATTTTGACTAAAGGTTTTAACGTGATTTTTTTTTAAGATTTAAAATTTTTTTTTTTTTTTTAAAAATCACGTAAAAAAAATTTTTTTTTTTCTTTTTTTTCTTTTAATGTTTACGAGGAAAAAAAAACAATAAAAAGAAAATAAAATTTCCTTTAAAAAAAAAAGGAAAAAAGGAAAAAAAGGAAAAAAAAAAATTTCGTTTTGGTAATTTGCGATTTGTAAAAAAAAAGAAAAAAAAAGTGGAAAAGTTTTAAAACATATTTAAGAAGATTTTTTTTTAAAAATAAATAAAAGCGTGTGTGTGTGCGTGCGTGCGGGTGTGCGTGTTTGTATCACGTGAATGAAAACGTTAAAGGTTAAAGTGAAAATCATACATTTTCCATACATTTTCTTATCCGGGAAAAAAATTTGTACATTTTTTTTTTCTGTTCCAGTTATCGCATTTCCACGACATTATTTTCCCCATAAAAAAAAAAAATAAAAAAAAAAACTTTTTAACGTCATTAATTATTTTCTAACGAGTGTTTTAAAGAAAAAAAATTTTACCACTTCCCCCTTTTTTATTATCATTATTATTATTACGGAAAGGAAAAACTTTTTCCAGTATCGGGGAGTAGGGGAAAAAACGGGAATAAAAAGTCGTCGTCGTTGTCGTTTTTAGGGGGTTTTTATTTATTTCACCTTACGATTGTTAAAATGAAAGATCGTTTATCGGGGGGGGGGGGAGAGGGCGAAACGAAACGATTCTGGAATTTCGTATCGAACTGATGATAACGATTTTTAAAATTTAATCGCGTTACGTTTTCTTATCAATAAAAAACAATCGAACAAATTTTTATTTTATCATCATCTACTTCTTCCCACTGCGTGGGTATACGTTGCGTCGTTCCAGTTAACTGGAAAAACATAAAAATGGAATGTTTTTCTGATAACAATATCGTTTTTATTAAAACAAATAGTGTCGAAATCATGGAGAATGTGTCGGCCCGTCGTGCATTATCAAATAAAAAAAAAAAGGGGGGACGGGGTGGAAGCGGAGGGTAGAAATCGATAAAATCGAAAATTAATTTTTTTTTTGTTTTTCTCTAGAACGGAATAAAAATCAAACGATTTTTATTATTATTATTACTCATGATGGAAATTAATTTAAAACATGTTTTATAATAATTATCATTATCATCATAAATTAAAATTCATATTAATAATAATAATAATAATAATAATGATAATAAATTTTTTAATAAAACCCGTTTCAAAAAAAGGAAAAAAAAAAGGAGGGAAAAAAATGCTTGGAAAATTTTATTTTTTTCAATTATTTTTCCCCTCCCTCCCCCTCTCCCCGTTTTTTTCTTTTTTTTGCTTCTTCGCAACAAAATGTCTTCCTTTCAACAACAACAAAAATTTTTTTTTCAATTTTATTATCTCTTAAACCCATACGTTTGGAAAAAAAAAAGGAAAAATTATCTTTTTTTACATTATACGTACGCCACCATTAATTTTTTTTAAAAATAATATTCTGGAAAAAAATGTAAAATTGACTTTTACATGAACAAACAAACGAACAAACAAAAAAATATTTCCAGATCCTTTCGAATGATGATGATTATAAAAAATTGTTTAAATGTTTAATAACAGGTTATTAAAATGCTTGTGATCGTCGTTGTTTTATTTGCATTGTGTTGGCTTCCGCTCCAGGCTTATAACGTATTACAGGATGTTTTTCCAGAAATTAATAAATACAGATATATTAATATCGTTTGGTTTTGTTTTGATTGGCTCGCAATGAGCAATAGCTGTTACAATCCATTCATTTACGGAATATATAACGTAAGTTTTAAATCATTTTCATTTTTTTTTTTTTTAAACGCGGAAATCTTAACGGATCCTTTGAAAAATCCACCTTTTCTCCTCCCTCCCCCAACTCCCTCTCATTTCTTTCTCTGCCTGTTTGTTTCCCTGTCTGTCTATCTTTTCGCTTTGGAAATTTTCTTAAAATTTTTTATAATTAAATCAAACGTTATACTCGTTAGGAAAGAAAGATTTTTTTTTCCCGCCAAAAAAATTTGTTTCCTTTCGTTTTATTTCCAGGAAAAATTTAAAAGAGAATTTCAAATAAGATTTCCGGTTTTGCGTGCGCACGGATCTTCTTCTTCTACTTATTATTCCTCGGAAAATAATTTAGAAATGAGAAGGATTCCAGGACAATCTCCGATCCAGACTAAAGTCACGATAAAATTATCCAAAAGGGATATCGATTACGGACGTAAAAAAAATTTCGGAAGGTAATTTCGGAAAAAACCTTTTTTTCCGTTGGAAAATTTTTTTTCTTTTCTTTTTTCGGGGGGGGGGAGGTAGAAGGCAGAGGGAGAAAAAAGAGGAGAGGGGGAGAGCGGTAGGGAGGAGGAGAAAATCTTGATTCTGTCACGTTTATAAATCACTGAAACATTTTCATGTTTGAGTGGTAAAATTAAATTTAAAAGATAAAAAAAAGAAAAAAAAAGAAAACTTTTTAAATTTTCACGTTAAATTATAATAAAAGTCATTTTAATAAGAAAAGGATTTTAATAATAATAATAATGATGACGATAATAATAATAATAATTGTAATTTAAAGGTTTTTTTTTTGGGGCGGGAAGAGGAATTTCGTTTATTCGAGTAATTTTTTTTTAATTTAACCCCCGACGATTTTTTTTTTTTTAACGTTAAATATAATTACGAGCGAAAGCAGAAGACATTTTTTTTTTAAAATTATTATTATTATTATTATTATTATTATTATTATTATTATTATTATTTATTATTCTTTCACCGGAAATAAAATTTTTTTTTTATTAAATAAACGAATAAATTATAAAAAAAAAAATTTTAATTCAATAATTTTACTTTCGTTCGTTCGTTTGTTCTTGTTTGTTGTTGTTATTATTATCATTATTATTATTTTAAACTGTTAATTAATTAATTAAATTATTTAATTAACAAAAAATCACTGTAATTTTTTTTTTTTGACGACTTTTGTTATTTTAACGAATTAATAAACGTATATGATAAAGAAAAAGTTTTATTTTTTGTCTTTCATTCATTCATTTGAATCGTACCTGAAGTGAAAATTCGAACGCTCTCGAAAATATGCGCGCCCCCTCCCCTCCCCTTCACCTCTTCACCTCCTCAAACGTGAAATGATAAAATAATAATAATAATAATAATAATAATAATAATAATAATGATATTTAAAATTAGTTTCATATATATTTAAATGCATATATTTTCATTAAAATGACGTTTCGGAACGCGCTCATGTCACAAAAGTAAATTCATTTCCCCCCCCCCTCTCAATTTATCTATCTGTCTCTGTCACTCACTCGTTTTCTCCGTAACAAAACGTAATGATAATAATAATAATAATTCGAAAAAAAATGAATGAATGATGCATATTTTTTTTTTGTTATGTTAACGGTTTAAAAATCCGGGAAAAGGGCGAAGGGTAATTAATTTAATTACACAGGAGAAAGAAATTATCATTATTATTATTATAATAATAATAATAATTATTATTATTATTATTATCATCGTTTGAAATAGTAGAGATGATAATACGGATTCAATAATAACGAAAATATTATTTAGTTACAATAGGCAATCGAAAAAAAATTTTTTTTTTTGGTATCGATATAATATCTGTTGAAAAAAAAAAAAATTTCTTATCAGTGCGTTATCAGAAGAGAGAGAGAGAGAGAGAAAGAAAAATTTCAAGTGTTTAATGACGTATTAAAATAAATATTATTTTAAATTAGGTGCCACCGTCATCGAGAGGAGTCGGTTCCTTAAATAATAATAATAATAACAGGTGATAATTAAAAAAAAAAAAAAACCGTTATGAAATGATGACAAAAAATCTGGAAAAAAAATTAAAAAATTTTTATTTTCCCAGACGCCATTTTGTTTTTGATATATAAAAAAAACAATTAATTACCATCATTTCGAGTTAAATTCATATTTTTTTCCGCCATTTTTTTTTTGGGGGAAAAAAAATTGTCATAAAATTCGTTGCACAAAAAAAGAGAGAGAATGGAGAGGGGGGGGAGTAAATAAATTTACATAAAAATAAGTTTTGCATAAATTTTACTCGTGAATAAATTTTCCGTTGAAAGAGAAAAATTATAAAAATTAAATGAAGAGTGTTAAATAATAGGATGTCGAAAATTAAAAAAAAAAAAAAATTGAAAACAAATAATAATAATAATAATAGTCGGTTGAACCGCCATTAGTACCGCCGATCATGTAAATGAATTATTAATTAAAAATAATTTTTTTTGATTTTTGATTCGTCGTTGTCAAATTTTAAATTTTGTTACCCTCCGCCATTTTTCCCTTACCCACCGCCATTTTCCCTTACCCACCGCAACTTTTCCCTTACCATCCGCCACATCCTATTCTCATACTTCTCACCACCTTTTCCTTATTCCCGCCTACATTTCCTTTTCATATATATTTTTTTTTCTCTCCTTTTATATTTTCACACAAAAAAGCACTAAAGATTAGACTTACTGGAGAAGAACTTTGACACCTCGTTCTCTGTAAAAATAAAATATAAACCGGATTTGAACCTTTTTTTTCCTTGTTTTTTTATTCGAATTGACATTTTTTATGGTGGCCTGTCACAAAAGGTTTTACCCCTCCCACCCCTCCCTTATCCTCCTTACCCTTATCTCTTCCTGGAAAATCTAGTTCGAAATTTTCTTATTAAAAAAAGTAAAATTAAGAGAGAAAAAAAAACCGAACGTTTACGAACTCTACGTAGATATCAATCATTCAATGACCACAATTATGATGATGATGATGATGATGATGATAATAATAATAATAATAATAATATATTATCAGTGTGTTCGTCTTATCAAATCTTTTTTTTTTTAAACAAAAAAAAAAAAAAAACTATTCGCAGAAAATCTGCGTAACACACGGTACGAAAATTAATTTTATTATTATTATTATTTTTTTTTTTTTTGAACGCGCGTTTGTTTTCGCGTTTGTTTTCGCGTTTGTTTTTTTCATTAAAATTTTATTTTCGAATACAAAAAAATTTTCCCGGTGTTTGTTTTCAAAAAAAAAAAATTGTTTGATCAGTGAAAGAATCTATTTATTAATTAAAAAAAAAAAAAAACAATGGAGTACTTTTAAGAGGAGGATTATGGTAATAAAAAGATTACGTAATATTACCCGTTTAGGTAAAAAACGGAAACGGTTGATAACAAAATTTTTTGTTTGTTTGTTTGTTTGTTTGTTTCGATTCAATTATTTACGTGAAATAATATTCGAAAAAAATTATAAAAACCCTCTTTATGCGTTTTTTGTTTTCATGCTCTTTTCGTGAAGTCCCACCGTGGGGAAGGGGAGGAGAGAGAAGAGGAAAGAAGGGGGAGGTGTGTGTGGGGGGAGGGTAGCGGAGGAGGCGGCGTCGTCGAAATAAATAAAAATTTTTCGCGTTGTTTCGAATCGTAAAAAAAAAGCAAAAAATCTCGTTTTTGTTTTGTTTGTTTGTTTTTATTATTTTTCTCGAATGCTTTTTATCGATTTCATTTTTGAAATATTAATAAAAAAAAAATTTAATATTATTCTTATTATTATTATTATTATTTATCTTATCGCGCGCGTAAAAATTATATACGTTGTACAGACGTTTAGCGTTTTTATCACACGTAAAAATTTTTAAAAATTAAAAAAAAAAATTGAAAATGTTTTATTGTAGCGAAGAAAAACAAAAAGTTTTTTTTTTTTTATTATGTTTTTTATGTTCTCTCATATTAAAAAAAAAAATTTAATTGAAAGAGTGAGTGAGAGAGAGAGAGAGAGAGAGAGAGAGAGAGAGGGAGGGAGAGAGAAAAAGAAAGTAAAAGAAATAACCCTTTGAAAAATTTTATTTTTTTTAAAAACAAATTTAAATGATTAATTATTATTATTATTATTTTATCACGTGTAATTATAAGTAATAATTAAAAAGAAAAGTTTTTTTATCTTATTTAAACATAAAAACATTAAAACATAAAACATAAGACATGCAAAAAAAAAAAAATTTTCAATTTTCAATTAGAATCATCGCATGTTTACGTAACGTTTGAGTATTTTAATAAACAAACACGAATCGTTTGGCAATCGCTACATTTTCTTTTATTTTTTTTATTCGTCTTCTGCTAGCTCTTAAGAAAAGGAAGGAAAGAAGGAAAGAGAGAGAGAGAGAAAGGATTTTAATTGACGTTACCGACGTTTCCGATCGAACGATTTTTTTAAACGTTTACAATAAAAAATTTTTTTCACTTTTAGCTATTTTAAGAATGAAAACTAAAAAGGTTAAGAAAAATAATAATAATAATAAGAAATGAATTCTCTTCCGGTTGGAAAAAAATATAAAAAATCATCATCATCATCATCATTATTATTACTATTATTATATTTAATAAAAATAATAATTTTTTTAACGTTAATCGGAGGATCGTTAGAGGAGGAAAAAAAAAATTTTTTTTTAAAAACTTTTTTCACTGGTCAAAATCACAATGAAAAAAATATAAAGAAAAGTATTTTCATCGTAGACAAAACCGGAAACGGAAGCGGTGGCATTGACGAAAACGGAAGTAACGGTGACGACGTAAACGAAAGTGGCGGTGATGACGGAAACAATCAAATAAAAACAAGTGAGTGAAATAAGTGGCAAAATTTTCACGTTTTTTTTCTTTTTAAAAATCAATCATTATTATTATTATTATCATTTCCAGGTTTTTATTCATTTTCACCTTCTGATAAGTTATTATCAATTAACGATTCGGAAAATTCTTGTCAGTATATTAATTATACAAAACAATTGATGTGTACGGGTAAGGGAATCATTTTTTCCCAACGCGATCCCCCCAATTAATTTATCCATACATTTTTTTTATTTTTACTTTTCAGGTTCGGTAAATTTTCCTTTTTTAAAAACGATAAAAAGGGAAAAAATAACGGATTTTATAATAAATAAATACGATGCAATAGATACGTTTTTTAATAAGAAAATACGAGAAAAGACGGATGAGAAAAACAGATTAGTAACGGATTATCCAAATCGTTATCAAAAATTAACCGGAAAATTACAATTGAAAAATACGGAATTGTGTATAAACGTTGTATTGACAATAGTACCCCAATCATCAAATAATAATAATCATTATTATTTAGTTAAGGGTGAAGCATTTTCGACGAAATTAATAAAAATATTTAGGAGTTTAAAGGGTGAAATATTATTCGAAAGAATTAATAATCGAACGATTGCGAAAATAAATATGGAAACTCTCGATAATAACGCGGGTACGTGGAATTTAAAAACGGAAGTGACGTATTTAAACAAAGATTTAAATTATAATTACGAATGGACCATTTCCGGTAGCATAAAATCAAATTACGTTTTCGATAATCAAACGGCCGTTTTCGGGGGTCTCGTTAAAACCAAAATAAAAAATAAAGAGTGTAAATTTACCGGGGAGGTAAACATACAAAATGCTAATTTATTATGGAATTTTATGGGGACCGTTACTTCCCCAATGGATAAAGAAATCACCCTACCGAGGGGTGCTTTTTCAAATATGTTCATTAAAAATATCATATTTAAAGATTCAAATTTTTTCAACGATTTTGATAAATACGTTTTCGAAGGTGAGATGTTTTCAAAATTTCCGGTTCCGAACCCCCCCCCCCACACACGAGCTAGTCATTATTATTATTTTCTGTTTTTTAAGGTTTGAACGGTGTTAAAAGCATAGCATTTTTAAGTTGTAAATTAGAAATAATGCCAAAAATGGATGATTTCTTACAAAGTTTTATTAATTTACAAGAAATTTATTTCGAAGATTGCACTACGCCAAATCTTAAATTCGGTTTTAAAGCCACGTTAAAAAACGTACGGTCTGCTAGTTTTAAAGGTACGACACATTAACAACAACGCATTTGGAATAAAACCGTTTTTAACTTATGGTCTTAACGATTTTCAGGTACGGGTCCATTATATTTCGACGAATATTCTTTTCAATGGTTGTCAAAATCGAATGTGACGTTTTTAAATTTAAAAAACAGTTACATAAAATTATCACCTAATGCAAGTAAGTAATTTTATTATCTTCTGACAAACGCAACAAACGACAAACAAAATTAATTTTTTTTTTTCTTTTCGATTCGTTACAGATTCCGTACTTACAGGAATCAATCATTCATTATCCCATTTAGACATATCTCATTCGAATTTAAAAAGTGAAAATGATTTAACGATTCTATTAAACGATTTAAACATAAATTATTTAGTGGCAGAAGATTTAAATTTAAAAAAAATACCCACGGGAGCATTGGGAAAAGTTAAATACACTTTAAAATATCTTTCGTTGCGTGGTAGTAATTTCGGTAAAATATTAGAAACCGACATATTCAGTCCGATATTTAAATTTCCCCCCATGTTTAATTTAATAGAATTAAATTTAATGAATTGCCAAATAAATTATTTGGAAAGAGGTTCGTTCGATTCGTTACCAAATTTAAAAAAATTATATTTGGGTAATAATAATTTGGAAAATTTACAAGATGGTTGGTCCGTTTTAAAACCCCGGATAACTCATCTCGATTTAAGCGGAAACGGTTTGACTTTGCAAATCCCCTATTTGAAAACAATGGCGACGACATTAAACCTGACAAATTTCACGGAATTGAAATTTTTAAATTTATCAAACGGTATTTTTTTAAATACGAAAAACGTTATAAAAAGCATAGGGGAAAATTTGGAACATTTATCGTTGAGAAATGCGGATTTGTTTAAAGTTCCACGTGACATATTTGAAAAATTAAATAATTTACAAATATTAGATTTGAGTTTTAATAAAAATATAAAACCCTTGCAAACATTATCGATTAATTTATTTAATAATATGAAAAATTTAAAAAAATTAATATTGACCGGATGTAGAATAAATAATTTATCGAATCAAACAATATCCGGAATAAAGAAAAATCCGTTATTTGAAAATTTAACAGTTTTAGATTTGAGTTATAATAATGTTAAATTAATTGAATCGTCATTATTGAAATCCTTACCGAAATTGGAAATATTGAATCTCTCCGGAAATGGTTTAACTTCGTGGAAAAAAAATTTATTTTCAAATAATCAACATTTGAAAGAATTATTTTTAGATGAGAATAAAATCGATGTGATTACGGAAGACATGTTGGAAGAATTGAAAAAATTAAAAATTATAAAAATGGGTAATAATCCATACGTGTGCGGTCCTTACGTTTACGATATCGTTAATATGATGTCGGAAAAAAAAACGTGTCGGGAAAGTTTTTACGCGATGGAAAATTCAAGTTTTTGCGACGATGAAAAATTAAATATTATTGATTGGTCGGAAAATTCATTCGTTTGTTTTTCACGATCGAAAAATAAATTAATACCATTTACAAAAGTCAACGAAACGTTTCAAAATATTTTAGAAAATGGGAAAAAAAATGGAAATTTAAATTTATTTACAATTTTTTTTATCGTCGGTTTAGGTAAGTTTAATCATCATTATCATCCCTTAAAGTTTTGGAATGAGGAAAATTTCTTCTCTATTTAATTGCCACCTTTTTTTACGACATTAACTTTTGATAAAACGAAATAATCACCCCCCAAAAAATTTTCCAAACTTTTTTTATGTTTTCGAATGGTTGCCAAACAATTAACGAAAACTTTTTTTTTTTTTTTAGTTATCACTTTGGCAATTGTTTTTTGGAAAATTTCGGATATACATTTGATAGGAAAAGCAGTTAAAAATGCAGTGGCATTATCGTTTTTAAGTCGTGGTAATAACGAGAGCGACAACATACGTAATTACGAATATAACGTATTCGTATCGTACAGCGATAAAGATCGTACTTGGGTCATTAATAATTTAATACCACGTTTGGAATCAAATAGAGATGTTAAAGTCTGCTTACACGAAAGAGATTTTCAAGCAAGTTTATTTATATCATTCCTCCCCCCCCAAAAAAAAAAAGGAAATTTTGATTTAATTGTTATTATTATTATTATTTTCAGGTCGGTTTGAGCATATTAGAAAATATAATTGCGAGCATAGATAGCAGCTGTAATATTGTTTTGGTTTTATCGAAATCATTTCTTAAAAGTCAATGGTGTCAATATGAGATGCTTTTAGCACAACATAGACTTTTGGAAACCGGAAGAGATCAATTAATACTCGTCCTATTGGAAAATATACCCGTCGTGAAAAGACCGAAAACTCTTCGTTATTTAATGATGACGAAAACTTATTTGGAATGGCCTGTAAAACCTAAAAATACGAAAGAAATTGATATTTTTTGGAACAGATTATTGAAATCCTTGAAAATTTAAGTTTTTTTTTTTTTCCCCCGTCGAATCGATTTATCGATTTTAAATCGATCGATATTATCGATAAAAAAAAAAAATATTTAAATAACGAAGTGTCGGATTTAGTGACACGAAAAAGGAAAAAATCTTTTGAACCGGAATCGAACCTGATAATTTTTATATAAGAATGTTAAAAAAATTATTATTATTATTATTATTATTATTATTATTATTATTAAGGGAAATGATTCAATCGTAAATTTATAATAATTAACCTTTAATTGTTCATGTGCCAAATGTTTTTCTCATATACATACAAACGATTTTTGAAATTTTCCAACGTTTTTATTCATTCATCTTCATTGAAGAAGTTCAAAATAATAATAATAATAATATTAAATTCTGTAATTATGTTGTTGTAACAGAGAAAAATTGCAAATTGAGATGAAAAGAAGAAGAAGGAAAAAAATTTTTTTTTTTTTTAAATAGTCTCCTAACATTTTTTTTTAAATAGGTCATTAATTAATTTAACCATCAGACAGACAGAGAGAAAGAGAGAGAGAGAGAGAGAGAGAGAGAGAGAGAGGGGGGGAGTAATGAAGGAAAAAGAAATAAAAACTTTTGCCAATAAACATTTCAAAGAAACTTATTTGAAAGAATGATGTTTTTAATAAATAAATAAATAAATTCAAAGGAAAAAAAAAAAAAGAAAATTTTTTTTTTAAATATGGCAGAAGATACGAGTCTGAAAATATTTAGCCATGTTTTTTTTTTTTTTTTTTTCTGATTTGTAGATATTTGAAATGATGATGATTAAATTTTACATTTAAAATTAATAAATAATAAATTATTATTATTAATAATTTGATTATTTAAATTAAAAAATTTTTTAAATATGTCAAAAAAAAAAAACAATGAACAAAGGAAAATTTACAATTGAATACCGCGTTTCCCTCCTTTTCAATTGTGTTGGTGTGCAATTGCGAGCCTAAATTTTCATTCGGTCGTGACGACGTTTGGCACCACTGACAATTTCTTGCCCTCCATCTTTTCTACGATTTGGGCTTTTCACAAGGTTTGTCTTTGTTATATTTATCGATTAATTTTTTTTTTTTTAATAATTACATATTAATATTAATTTATTAATTATTAAATTTTCAAACCGGTTCGTTTAAATTAATTTTATTATAATATATTTAACATTAAATAATTATTTTCGATATTATACATGCGCGGAAACTATTCGTGCAAATGTTGCTGTTCGCCATGTGCTAATGCCAAAAAAATTGAATAACAATTACATTTTAATAATTTTTTTTTTGTGAATAACATTAATAATTGCACGTAATTTCATTTTTAAAAAATATTTTTTTTTTTTTTTTTTTTTTACGAAAATTATTATTATATGAGATTTTTTTTTTTTTTTTTCGATTGTTTTAATTAAAGCCGGCCGCAATAATGGTAATAAATTACGCTTTCCTTTAACGAATAATAGTCTATTAAAATTATTATTATTATTAGTTGTAATTTTTTAAAAAACCTTTCAACATTCTTTTTTTTCGTGTTTTTTTATAAAAATTAAATAAAAGCATGTGCGTGTGTTGTTTTGGTATTCGCGGAGGTTTTTGTGAATAAAAGAAGGATATATGAAATTTTATTTTTTTTTAAAGTATTAATTTTATTGAGGCAACATGTCTGGTGGAGATCTTGATAGGAAAGAAGTCGGAGAAGAAAACGAAGATTATTTGGTTGAAGATGATTCAGATATTCCAACCGAGCACGTTAACAAATTACTTTTAAATAGGTCTGATGTATTAGCAGCTTTACAAGCCCAAAGTCTGGCAGTGAGTATTTTTGTCTAATTAATTATTTTTTAAAATAAATATTAAAAATATAATGTTTCGATATTTCTCGATGAGTTCCATTTTGAATATTATATCAAAACATGCATTGAAATTCTTATTATTATTATTTATATTTGACAATAAGAAAAAAAAAAAAAAAAACAACCGAGTTTGCATTATATTGTGTAACATTGATTTATTTTACAGGCTCTTCCTCCTTCTGTTAAAAAAAGAATAAAGGCCTTGAAAAAAATTCAATTGGAATCGACTAAAATTGAGTCTAAATTTTATGAAGAAATCCATGCTCTAGAATGCAAATATCATAAATTGTGGTTACCACAATATGAAAAAAGAGCTCAAATAGTTAGCGGAAGTTATGAGCCTGTAGAAGAAGAATGCGATTGGGAATCTGATAAAGAGGAAGATGATTTATCTAACGAACTTGAGAAAAAAGCCAAAATTAAAGAAGAAACTGAAAATGAGTGAGTTATTAATACATAATTCTTTCTACTTTATAAAAATTTTTGTCATTTTTTACATAAAAAAATAATAATAATAATAATAATACATAATTGTTACGATTCAAATTTAGAAATGCTGTGAACGATGATGTAAAAGGAATACCAGAATTTTGGTTGACAATATTCAGAAATGTATCTTTACTACAAGAAATGGTCGAAGATTATGATATTCCTATTTTAAAACATTTGGAAGATGTTAAAGTAGTTTTGAATGAAAAACCAATGGGATTCATTCTTAAATTTTACTTTTCTCCAAATGAATACTTTCAAAACTCTGTTTTGACAAAAGAATACGAAATGAATTGTGCTTTAGACGAAGCTGATCCATTTAGTTTCGAGGGTCCAGAAATAGTTAAATGCAAGGTAATGTCACATTATTTGTCATTCAATTTGATAAATGCATCAAGAGGCTCTCTTTAAAATTATTTTTTATATATATTTAAAGGATTTTATTTTTTTATCGATGCTATATTAAAACGCCGGGTGACTTCTTTTCATTGAATATCATTGAAAAGAGCAGGACCAGCGTGACATATTTATTTATTAAAATAATTAATTATTTTTTATCACTGTCGAGAGTGGAAAGATGGATGGATTTCTAAAATCATCCCTTATGACGAATAATTAAATTTTTTTTTTTTTTTTTTACAGGGGTGTCCAATAGATTGGGCCAAAGGGAAAAATGTTACTTTAAAAACTTTAAAAAAGAAACAAAAGCACAAAGGAAGAGGAGAAGTACGAGTAGTCACAAAAACCGTTCGTAGAGATTCGTTTTTTAATTTTTTCTCTCCGCCAACTTTTTCAAAGGATCCGGATGCGGAAATTGACGAAGAAACTCAAAGTTTGCTAACTGCAGACTTTGAAATCGGTCATTATTTTAAAGAAAAAATTATTCCTAGAGCGGTTTTATATTTCACAGGTTAAAAACAAAACATTTTAAACGTTTAAGTTGTTATAAAAAATTTTTTATTTATAATAATTAATAATAATGATGATGATTTTTTAGGAGAAGCCTTGGAAGATGAGGAGGATGAACTAGAAGAAGAGGAGGGAGATGAAGATGATGAAGAAGATGATGATGAAGATGACTCCGATGGTGTTGCAGGAGATAAAGTGGATTACTCTGATTGCAAAAATCAGTAATGCATTATTTAATGTGCTCCTAAATTAATTGTGGTTTTGTTCTTTATCTTATTGACTCAAAATTATTAATATATGTAAAGTATATTTGTCGGGCCATTTTTATAGCTTAACAGCTTAAAAGGAGTCAATTTTGTCCTATAAATAATACATTATTAATATTACTATGCATTACTACAACTCGAAAAGAAAAAAGAAAAAAAAGTAAAAAAAAAAAAAATTTTTTTTTTTTAAAAAGCAGGGAATTCACATTATTTCTTTATTTTATTTTATTTTATTTTATTTTTTTTTGTTTTTATATTAAATGTAAAATTCATGACACTATCATTCCTTTGACTGTACTCCCTTCATTTTGCATTTTTTTTTTTTTTTTTTTTTTTTTTTTTTGAAAAAATTTAAACAAAAAAAAAAAAATTTTTGAATCATTGTTTTTGCAATATAGTATATAAAGCTCTACTAAAATTGATTATGCTTTTATCGTTAATTTTTTTTTTTTTTTTTATTAGTTAATAAAATAAATTGTGATAGGTGGTAAAATTTTGTTAGGTTTTAAACACCCCCCCCTCCCCCCTGAAATAATAACGTTAATTTATTATATAAACGACCATGACATTCGATTACATCTTCTTTTAAGCTGAAAATTAAAAAATGTTTTAAATTGTTTCACTTTTTTTTAAAATTTTTAATGGTTTTTACAGCGGTTTCAATTAATATCAAGTTCAATGAACTTCCTTGTTTCGTCGATCATTATATTCTCTGGTTTATGGTGTTATTCTTTTTAAAAAAAAAAAAGAAAGTTGGAATTCTCATTTGTGGTCATCGATTATCTTGCAAATTTTATCAATCTGCGAACAACTATATATATAAAAAAAAAAAAAGCTTTTAATTTGTCGAGCGTCGAGCAGCGAATGGCTTCTTCCTCTTCCTTAATTTTATATTGGCAATGAAATCGTTTTTTTTTTTTTTTTTTAAATTCATTGCTGTAATTTTTTGTAATTTTTGCAAAATAATATGAGCTGTTTTCAATTTAAAATATATATATTGAAAATTTTGAAATTATAATAATAATACAGGAGAAAAAAAATTTATTTTTCCCCAATGACTAACCGTATTATTTCCTGAGACCGACTTAGAAAAATTTATGTTGGCTGCATTGGTTTGCCATCGGCCGATTTTCAACCTTGAGTGTAGAATTTAGCTAAGTGTGTGTATTTTGTACTTCATTAAATATTGATATCTTCAAAAGTGTTTGTGTGTTTATATACATATGTGAATTAATTATGGAGTGGTTAATAAGCGATATACAAATCGGAAAACAAAATATATAATTTAAAAAAAAATTAATTTATATTAAAAAAAGAAAAAAAAAAAGAAAAAAAAAAAATTTTTTTTTTTTTTTGATGTTCAACAATGTTGATAGTGTTTGGACTGATTTTATTTTATTATTGTTTAACGACTTCGGTTTATACCCTCGATGAGGCAACGGATAATCCAGTTAAACTACCATATTCATCATCAGTAACCTCGTTAAGATCTGATTATCCTTCTGGAAGTATAGGAAGTTATTCACGAGGAGGTTCTTATGCCTCGTCAGCTGTTGTGGCAAATCATGGCCATGAAACAGGTATTGTTAAGGCGCAATGTCGAAATATCATATAAATTTTAATTATTTAAAGAATTTTTAATGCTTACAAAATGAAAAAATAGTATTGTTAGAATTCAAACAAAAAAATTTTGTTTAAATAATAAATTAAAAAATTTACAAGGTTATGAAAGTATCAAAAATTGTTTTTTAAAACCATCATCACATAAATTATTTTGTATTAAATTTAAACATTTTTTTTTTTATCGAATCATCATTTAGAATTTATTTGAAAATTATGTTTATCTTAATTATGTTTAGTTTTGTTACAATAATTAGAAAATTAATTTACACTCTTAAATTTCAGGATCTGAAGGTTGTATTGGGGATGAATTAGTTTGCCTTTCGATGACAGCTCAAGATCGTCTTGCATTGGATGCTATTAAATCATTACACAGACAACTAGACGATGATGCTGATGGAAATGTTGATTTTTCTGAATCAGATGAGGTAATTTATTAATAAAACATATAAATTTATTAATAAATAAATTAACAAATCGGAAAAACCCATTCGGTTACAATAAATACTTTTACATTTCATACCTAAATTTATTTGAGCGATTTTATAAAATCAAATAAATTCATGTATTTCATGTTTTAAATATTATTTGTCGTCAGTGATTTCAATTTTTTTTTTTTTTTTTTTGTTATGTTTTCAAATCTGTTATGTAAAAATGTTAAGTAGAAAAAAAAAAAAAAAAAAAAACTTGGTTAGCGACAAGAATCGTTCAAAGTATGAGAAAAACAATAAAAAGATTTGAGAAACTGAATAATATAATTTATTCAGTTATTCAGTTGTTTACAATATTTTTCTTTATTGCTTCAGGCACATTGATAGCGAAAAAAAAAAAATATTCAAAGCCTTATTTTTGTACAATTTGTATGTAATTACAAATGAATTATTTGTTTTTAATAGGAAATATCAATTTGTAATAATGTCAGGTGAAAAATTTGAAAAGTTTGTTTCATTTTCATATTGATACTCCAATACAATTCTTATTTTAGGTTGATAACGTAATCAGTCGATTTTTTTTAATGCGTTTTAAATAAGAAATTCTAATAAATCATTACTCACTTTTTTTTTTTTTTTTTTTTTTTCGTTTTTAAGTAATTTTAGTAACATTAATAATAATAATAATAAGATATAAATTAATGAATCCTTCGTTAGATTGAGTTAGTTTTGTTTTTTTTTTTTTTTTGGGGGGCAAAAAAATTAATTTTTTTTTGTAAATAACAAAATTTTGAAACTATGTCGGGAATGCCATTAATTATATTTTTTTTTTTTTTTGTTCAATCTTTAGCGTTCCCCATTTTAAATTATTAAATCGTTTTATTAATTATTTTTAGGCTTGCTTTTAAAAAAAAAAAACGAAAAAAAATTGTTTATCGATTTAAACATTTAATTGTTGTTAATTGCAATCGATTTCTTTTCTTTGTTTGCGATTGTTTTCATTGTCCATTTTTTTTTTTTTTTTTTAAATTTTTTTTTTTTTGTAATTTGTTGTTCTATTACGACACAACAACAACAACAACAACAAAAACAATGAGAGTGAGTGAGATGAGGAGGTGGGAATATATGATGAATTTCTTGCCTTATTTAATAAAAAATTTCACAATTTAATGCTGCCAAAAATTATAACAAAAAAAAAATTTTTAGTAATGAAATCACTGACAAACTTTGCATTTGAAAATATGTGAAAATTTTTGTTTTTTTTTTTTTTTTTTTTCAAACGAGTTACATATAATAATATTCGTGAGAATTATTATTATTATTATTATTTATTTTTTTGTGATTTGATTTATAATTGACGTTAACATTTTCATAACAATGTTAAACCATTATCCTGGTAATTGTTTTTTTTTCTTTTTTTTTTTTTGACATTACATTTCTTGGAATCATAATAATAATAATATGCGTGCTCGATGATGATGATGATGATGATGAGTTTCGCAAGAGAACAACGCAAAAAAAAAAAAAAAAAAACAATAACAACAACAATAATAATAAAAATAATGGTAATAACGGTGACGGTTCCCGATTTCCTTATTTTATTTTCATTACGAGTAATTTTGATTAATTCATTAAATTTTATTAAATAAATAGCGAGTTTTCTTTTTATTTCTATTTTTTCTTTTTTTGGCAGCCCTAGTTTTAAGTTTAGTTTTAGTCCCCTTGCGAAAAACTACATTTAAAAAAAAGGAAAAAGAAAAAGGAAAAAGGAAAAACTTTGTCACTTTTGTTCTACTGATAAAAACAATTAATTTTTTCTTTTTTTTTTATCGATTCCCGGATTAATTATTTTTTTTTTTTTTACGGCTGTTATTATCATCATCATCATCATAAATATTAATTAATACTTGTATTTTTCTATTAGAAAAAAAAAGGTGTTTTCATATTCCTTTTAAAGGAATTTATTGTTCGTTTTTATTAATTAAAAAAAAAAAAAAAAAAAATTAAATTAATTCGGCGAATTATTCTCGAATGATGATGACAAATATTTACTTCGGTTTAAATTGCACTTCGTACCTTTTTTTTTTCCTTACTACTATTATTATTATTATTATTATTACTTATTGTACGCATTACTTGCACTTTTATAAAAAAATGTTTTCACTATTGAAAACGAGTTTTTTTTTTTTTTTTAATGAAATAATGATAATTTCAACAACGTGAGAGTCGGTCTCGCAAAAAAAAAAAAAAAAGGGACAAAAATCAACTTTGTTAATGACGATGTTGTTATTATTATTATTATTATTATTATGTTTTTTTCGGATTGCGAAACGGTTGGGAAAATCATCAAAGCATGTCACTTTTCCTCGTTTGTTCTTTCGTTTATACTCGTTTGTTTGAGTTTGTTGTTTTGTTGATAGACTAGATTTCGAAGGGAAAAAGAAAATAAAAATTTTTTTTTGACGTTAAACATTTACATGTTTGACATACGACGTACGAATTCATGCGTGTTCGTTTTCGATTTTATTTATTTATTATTATTATTATTAGTAGTAGTACTTTTAATAATAATGATGATGATAATGAAAAAATTATTTCGTTCGCAGTTTCTTAGAGAGGATTTAAAATATCAGGATGGGTATCAGAGGAGGCAACAAGCTTTTCATAGAAACGACGACAAACACATTTCGGTTAAAGAACTTTGGGATGCATGGCTGAGATCCGACGTAAGTTAAATCACGTATTTATTTATTTATTTATTTAATAAGTTTTAATGTTAAAAAATGTTTTTGTTATTGGAAATGATTGATTGATTGATTGATTGAATGAAAAAGAAAAAATTTACTTTCTTTTCTCTCTCTCTAACTCTCTTATTAATGAAATGTTTACGACAGTTGCTCACCTTTGTGTCTTTAAAAAAAAAGTAAAAAAAATTTTTTTTTGTCTCATATTGAGTTTATGCAACTATCGTTTTCCCTCAAGGTTGATGTAGGTAAAATTTATTTCCGTCATTTTCACAAAAAAAAAAAAAAATTTTTCTCATTTTCATTCAAAGTGAATTAATTAATGATTTTTATTATTTGCAATTTTTTTATTATTTTTTAATAACAAATTAGCCTTATAAAACAATTTCTTTTATTTATTTATTTATTTATTTTTTCTCAGTCTCTATTCTTTTTAATTATCGTTGCCAAAAATGATTTCGTGCGGGTAAACGCAATTGCAACAAAAAAATTTATTTATTACGCCGCAAATATTTTTTTTTAAAAACTAATACCATTGTTATTTATTTATTTATTATTTGTATTTGTGTTATTTTTTTGGGGGAGAGGGGAAAGGGAAAGGGGGGGTTTCGTTTAGTAATTTCCTTTTTTATTTACATACATGTATGTAATTTTTTTAATAATTGTGAAATTGATTTATTTATTTATGTGTTTGCGTTACGCACGAATGAATGATTTTTTTTTTTTTTTTTTTCGTTTACTCGAGACGAAGAGTTATCAATAAATAAATAAATAATAATAATAATAATAATAGTCGTAAAAAAGTATGTGTGATGAAGTGTTGATTCGATTTTAAATGATTGAAAAGTCCGAAAATTAAAACGAATGACGTGAGAAGAGACGAAAAAAGAGACGAAAGTGGTCGAATTTCCTTTAATTATTATTATTATTATTATTATTATTATTATTATTATTATTATTATTATTATTATATTTTTTATTTTTTTAAAAAAAAAAAAAAAAAAAATAACATTAATCAGGTACACAACTGGACCGTGGAGCAAACGGTGGAATGGCTCGCGACGAGTGTGGAACTTCCTCAGTACGCGACAACTTTTGTCGAGAATCGCGTGACGGGTGCGACTCTACCACGATTGGCTGTTGGCAATTCGCAATACCTTAGCAGCGTTTTGGGAATCAAAGACCCGATACACAAGCAAAAAATTGCCTTGAAAGCCATGGACGTCGTTTTGTTCGGACCGCCAAAAGGTAGACTAGAGAGAGAAAAACACATTGCAGTGTAGACGCAATCGCTTGCTTAGCTCAAAATGTCAGGCTTTTGGGTAGTTTGAATGAAAAAGTTTTTATTTTTTTCTTATTCGCGAAAAAGATTATTTCCCATTTTAATCTCGTAATAATTGGATGTAACGTTTAACGTTCCCCGTTGGAAGATTTTTATATTTTCTTCTTTTCTTATCTCGTTCGTTTTTTTTTTTGCAGAATCCTTGAAGCGCTAAAATAATTATTTACAAAAAAAAAAAAAAAAACTTGACTTCACTGTTTGCTTTCACCCATAAGCGAATTTTCATCAATGACTTTTTTCTCTCTCTCTCTCTCTCTCTCACTCTCGTACGAACGAACGAAGGAAAAAAAAAAAGAATTTAAGTTGGATAAATATTATTATCTTAAAAACTTTTCTTTAACGTCATAGAACACTTATCGTCGTGGTATCATCAATAATAAATTTACCTGATCAATAATAATAAATTTTAACACTTGATGATGATAAAAAAAAAGTTAGAAAATATCCGAGGGAAAATTAACATTGGTATCATTATCATTATTTCAATGGGAGTTTGATTTCTTTGCCCCCCTCACCTCACCTCCCCTCATCTCGCTCTTGCCTCGGGCGCTTTTTGTATAAAATTTAAAAAAAAAAAAAAAAGTTGTTTTTCCTTTTCGGTTTCAGACACAAAAAAAAAAAAAAAATTGTACTTTGAACTTTTTCTTCAAAACTTTCCAAAAAATAATAATAATAAAAAATCAATAAATAGCAGTTAATAATAATTAATGCATGCATTACAGTTTTCTCTTGTTTATTAGATTATTATCATCCAACTAAAGATATTGTCTTGGTAACACTTTTATTGGGAGCCTTGGTCGGATGCTGGTGGGCATATCGTCAAAACAAACTATCCCGTCATCATTTGAGAAGAATGATGAAAGACATGGAAAGTTTACACAAAGCCGAATTGGCTCTCGAAGACCTTCAGAGAGAACTCGAACACACGAAAAAAGAAAGGCAAAACGTCACGACGGAAAAGTTAAATTTGGAGAGAAAATTATTGGAGCAAGAAGGAGACGGGGAAAGAATGAAAACGACGTATTCGGATTTGGAAGTGACTCAATTGAAGCAAGAAGTCGAAATGCTGAGGAGCGAATTGCAAAGAGCCGAGGGAGAATTGCAGGATCGGTGTTGGGCTCCCCCGGCGGGTCTACAGCATTGGCTTCAATTAACTCACGAAATCGAAAACAAAGGATACATAAAAAAACGTTTGGCCGCGGAGAAAAAACTTCAGCTGGCCAGAGAAGCGGTACGTCTCCCTCTCTCTCTCTCTCACTCTCGTTTGTTTGATTAAGGGAAAAAGAGAAAGAGAATTTATTTATTTTTTAAAATTTTTAGTGCGACAAGTTGAAGAAGAAGAGATCGAGTTTGGTTGGAGCTTTCGTTTCGACTCATGGTAAATCCATAGACGATGTCGATCGAAGCATCGTCGAAGCGAGAACGTCTTTGAACGAAGTCACGTCCGAATTGCAAGAAAGAGTTTACAGATGGAAACAAATCGAATTGCTCTGCGGTTTCAACATAATAAACAACAGCGGGTTGCCATATTTAGAATCCGTTCTTTATAAGAACGCGCCGAACGGAAGAGGGCCCAAGGGTTTAGGTAAAAATCGTTGTAATATTTAAACGAAACCCGTCTCTCTCCTTCCCCCTCTGCGAGGCTCAAAACCGATCGTACAAAATTTGTTGACAAAGTTTGTTTTTCTTCTTATTTTTCAGGAAGAGTCAATTCGAGTCAGGATGACTTGGACGATGATAGTTCTTCGTTGCATTCACCTTCCGCAGGTAAGAGCATTACTACTTACTCGACGGATGATGAAAGCGAATTTCATTATCTATCGTAAAAAGTTTTTTTTTTTCTTCTTCATTTTCTCTGTCTTTTCCGACCGAAAAAAATCCTTTTCGATTCTTTACGACAGCATCAACTAAAAAAAAAAATCATTTTCTTTTTATGAACCTTCCCCCCCCTCCCCGTTCGTACAAGGACCTTCCACAAAGTTTATCAAATGGTTCCAAAAAAAACCCCCTAAAAAACCCCCCCCAAAAAAAAAAAAAAAAAACATGTTTAAAATATTTATGTATTTAATTTATATATATTTATTTATTACGTATGCAAACAATGGTTTTTTTTTTCGTGACGACATGATTTTGTCGTCAGAAAATCAATCACGTGACATGATTTTTTTCACGTGATTGATTCTCTCGCGCCATTTTTTTTTTTTTTTTTTGAAAAATTTCCCCGTATCAATTTTACATAAAAAAAAAAAAAAAAATTACGCTCGGCTGTTATTTTTTTCCCCGCCTCCTTTCCTACCCCCCGCTCCCCTTTCTCCCTCCCCTCGCCCCCTCCGTTTTCCCTTTTCCTTTTCATTTTATTTATTTTCTCTTCTCGTAATATAATATAATATAATATAATAAAATTAAATTTAAAAAAAAAAAAAAAAAAAAAAAAACGAAAAGTTTTTCCTTGTCTCTTTTTTATTTTTTTTCCGCATGTGAAAATTTTTATTTTTGTTTTGTTATTTAATAAATTAAATTTTTTTTTTTTTTTTTTATTATTATTATTATTTTGTTTTTCTCATTTGATATCGTGCGTGTGCGTGTGTGCGTGTGCGTATAAGAAAACAAAAAAAAAATGCGAAGGCGCGGTGAACGATCGAAGTGAAATTTTCGCGACAAAAGTCGTAGTAACAATAATAATAATAATAATAATAACGATAACAATAACAATAACAATAACAACTAACGTTTCTTAATGATTATTGTTTATTATTATTATTATTAATTTTTTGTTACTTTTTGATGTGTTTCGAAACACCGATCGACCAAACGAAAAAAAAAATTGTTTTTAAAAAGGGGCGTTACAAAATAAATTTTTCTTTTTTTTTTCTGGATTACTATTAAAATAATAATAATAATAATTTATTTTTTTTCCCGAAATGTTTTTATTATTATTATTATTATTATTATCATCATTATTTTCCCGTGCATGAATTTGTCATTTAATAATAACGATCTTTGGAAAATGAAATAAAAAAAAAAAAAAATATTCAAAACGAATAATAATGGTCGTGTTTACAACGTAATGATGATGATGATGATGGTAATGTAATAGTAATAATAATAGTAATAATAATAATAATAATAATGATATTCCTAACCCGCGTAAGTTGTTTTAAAATTGGAATTTAATTGTGTTGTAATAATTTTTGGCATGTAACATGTTTTTTTTTTTTTTTTTTTTTTCTGGGTTTCACGTAATAAAAAAATTTTCGTTTGATTTTTTTTGTTTTTTTTTTTTTTTAAATGCACGTGAAAAAAATTAATTTCACGGTTTTATATACGATGTAAAGTGTTTCTTCACTCTCGTAAAAGTTATTATTATTATTATTATTATTATTATTAATAAAAAGTTCGAAAACGATTGTGTTATTATCGACGGCGTAAAATAAACCATTGTGAAATTGCAAAAAAGTTTTATTTACGCCCATTTATACATATGAAGCCAAGGTTTTCAAAAAGGAAATGAAATAACGGAAAACAGAAAAAAAAACGTGGAAGTAGTGGTAGGGAGATAATTGTGGAAAATGGGAGGGGGAAACGGAAAATGCTCACATTCAGTTTCCGGTTGTTGCATTTTGTCAAATTATTAATTTTTATTTATTTATTTATTTTGATTGTTTGTCGACGAATTTTTTAAATATTAAAGTTTGGGAGAGTGAGAGAGAGAGAACAATTTATACGATTTGACTTTGATTTGTTTTGTTTGTTTGTTGTTTGTTGTTGTTGTTGGAGTTCGTTCGGGTTTTTTTTTTTTTTTTGTTAAAAAATTAAAATCGAAATCAAACAAGTATAAATTAACATTACGTAATGCAATTTGATTTTTTTTTTTTTTGCGTTGCAGTAAACGGGAGAAGAAAAAAAGGGGGAGGGAAGAGGGAGAAGGGGAAAAAGAAAATTTTTTTCGTCGATTTTCACACACATAAACAATATGTTTTCGATATTTTGCGTCTCTCGTGTTTGCATGCTTAGAAATTATGCTATCGTGCGCAGCAGGCCTTGAAATCAATTGTGTGGTTTTTAGTTAAAAAAAAAAATAATAATAATAAAGTATTTGATTTAAATAACGTAGTTTTAATTATTATCAAAGAAGGAAAACAATTTTTTTTTTTCCTCTGTGATAAACGTAATTATCCAAGTTCACGCACACGCACACACACACACACACACTGATAGTGAAATAAATTTTAAAAAAAAAATTTTCAGAATTAAAATAAATAAATAAATAAATTGTTTTTCGTTTGTGTGTTTGTTTGGCGAACCTGTCGTTCGGTTGTACTTTTTCGACTATTTCGTACAAACGTAATTTTTTTTTTTTTTCCGTGGTTGTTACGCGTGTGTTTTTAAAATTGTTGCGTGAAATAAAAAAAATTCACGTGGATTTATTATTATTATTATTAGTATTATGGTTTTTTTTTTTCCATAGGTTGCCTTGATAGCTGGAAGGAAGATTCCAGTGAAAGCGAACAGGGTCGAAATGAATTCGACGATGATAGTTTACAAGATTCAAAAAGTGCCAATAGCAACGTACATTTTACACTTGGAGAAGATGGGTGAGTTTGTTTTTCTTTCTCTCTCTTTTTTATCCGTTCGAACCGTTCGCGTATCGATAATCAATTAATTTTTTTATCGTTTAGTTGGGAAGACGAAATCACTCCGATGCCTGTACTCCAGAAAAAAATTCATAAAAGTTCAATGAGTCGTTGCCACAGTCAAGACAATAATTGCGCATCTCCTTTCGACAGGGAAAAAGATAAGGATCGTTCTCTGGTATGTTTTTTTTTTTTTTTTTTTTGTGTGTGTGATTACGCCGCGTTTTACGCATGCATGTATATACGGTGTGAAAATGCGTCGGGCAGAGAAAATGCGTCCGCCATTTTTTTTTCCCCCCCGGTTTTTAATGAATGAGGATGTTTAATTTTAAAATGTCGTGCTCGCGGTTTATTAAGCGCTTTCGTTAATTTTTATCGCAAAGAAATCCCCCCCCCCGACCCCCAAAAAAAAAAAAAATTTAAAAATAAACGAAAAAACTTTTGGTCGCGAAAGCAGAAGAAAAAAATTATATTTTCTTTTACCGGTGGTTAAATTGAACAGTTTAGTCCACCGCCGAGAGACCGGTAAATTACTTTCCAACATGCCATTATCCGAGTCTTAAATGCTATAAATTACGGGCAACAAGTTTAATTAAGGGAAGAAACGAAATGTGTGGGTGTGGGTGTGAGTGTGCGTGCGTGCGTGTGCGTGCCGCAGGTGAAAACGCACCTTTTGTTATGACAAATTATAAATACCGTGTCACTAACCTTTGTCTTACTTTTCAAATTATTATTATTATAATAAGTTATGCGAACTTTCATCCTCGTTGTCGTCGTCGTCGTTAATTTAAAATATTTTGTTTTTTGTTTTTTTTTTTTCGAGAAAGTCTCGGGGAGAAGAGAGAGAGAGAGAAAGGGTGAGTGAAAGAGAGAGAAAATTAAAAAGGATTAAAATAAAAGTTTTAAAACTTTGTTTTGATTTTGTTTTTTTTTTTTTTTTTTTTTGGTTGTTTCACACAGTTTTCTCAATCGAAATTATCTCAGTCGGATTCAAATTTGGACGGACCCTCTTCCGTCCTTAAATATTCTCAAATAAAAAAACTTCCAAGGGAATTATGTTCGGGACCGGAGGATTTAAAATCCGTGAGAAAAATTGAAGAGCAGTTGAGAAAAAATTCAGATAATAGTAAAATGATAAGGAGGATAAGCAAGGATCAACCGGAGGAAGATCCAAAATTTGTGTTTCTTAAAAGTTACAAAGATAAAGAAATGATGGAAGACGATAAATTGTTGGGTTATCGACAGTCGAGGGAAATCGCCGCCGACGATTTCCGGTAAAGATGACTGTTGCTGTCGTTGCTGTTGTTGTAACGTCGAGGACCCACGTAGATACATACGTAATTTTTTTTTTTTTTGGTTGCAGGAGAAAATCGGATTCTCGTGACGGTCCCATCGACGGATCGTCGTCGAATTTTCGACGCACGACGAGCGACGATTTTCGTAAATTACTAGGGAAAGAAATGGTCGTCGTCGGTGACGTGAAAAAAATGACGACGAGTTCGGAAGACGGTAGAAAAGCGACGATGTCGACGGCGATGACGACGACGACGACGACGACAGAAGACTGCAAAAAAATATTAGATAAGGTTAGAACGGATGAATTGATGAAAAGTAATAATTTATTATTGAACGACGAAAAAGACGAAACGTATTCGACGGATTCGAATTCGACCGCAGCAGACGAAACGGACACGAAGAAAAAAAAATTGAAACTTTTTGGAAATTTCCGTAAGAATAAATTGAAACTTTCATGATGATGATAATAATGATGAAATTTCTTAGGTAAAGACAAAACCAAAAAAAAAAAAAAAAAAAAATTGGTTTGAAAATCATATTTTTTTATCATTATTATTATCATTATTTTTATTATTATTATTATTATCGCTATTATTATTACTACTATTACTACTCTATTATTATTATTACTTTTTTTTTTTTGTACTTACGGTACTTTTGTTTAACAAAAAAAAAAAAAAAGCGACAATCCGTTCGGTTTCCTGCTGGCCGGGACGTTAATCATAATTTTCTCGTATACGTCGTGCGAACGAACGCGTAGCGCGTCTCTCCTCCCCCGAAAATCAATTTTTTTTTTTTTTCCGAGACAGCAGCATGCACGACAGATAAATTATTATTCAATTTGAAATTTTTCACCCCGAAACGATAACAACAACCGAACGTTCGAGAAAAAATCCATTGAATGAATGAATGAATGAATGAATGAGGGAAAGAATGAACGAACGTACGAGTGAGTGAGTGAGTTAGCGAATGATTTTTGTTGTTCCTCATGAAAACATCCCCGTTCCTGTCGTTGATATAATTAAAAAAAAAAAAAAATCAAATTTAGGTTAAATGTTGCCAACTTTAAAAAACAAAACAAACGCGACCGTTTTCTTTTTTTTTTTTTTTTTTAACGATTGGTATTCGTAATTATCGCGATACTATAACGACCGGAGTCTTCCCCGAAAAAAATTTTCTAATTTTTCCCCCTTTTGAAAATTGCGATTCGTTGATTAGATAAAATCAAACGGAAATTTTAAATTTTTTATTTTATTTTATTCGTTTCGTAGGTTCGTAATTTTTAAGGTTTTAAGGTTTAAGGTTTAAGGTTTAAGGTATGTTTTGTAAAACAAAAAAACCTTTTTTCGCGTTTGTTTACAATCAAATGGAACGGAAGAAAGGAAAAAAAAAAAATGTGAAGACGTAACGTAACGTCTTTGAAATTTTTTTTTTTTTTCGTCAAATTCTCGGTACCTGAAATTTATCCTAACGGTGATGATGATGATAATAATAATAATGACGGCGACGACGATGATGATGATGATGATGGTGGTAGTAGTAATATTTTCGAAAGGTTTTTTTGGGCTGTTGGTAAAACGGAAAATTATTTTAATGACGACACATTCCCGTTGTGTTTTTTTTTTTTTTTGAGAGAGAGAGAGAGAGAGAAGAGAGGTGCGTGGAAATTTATTATTTATTAAATTATTATTATTATTATTGCGACATCTCATCGCCATTTTTTCTATCTTTTCTTTTTTTCTTTGTTTGTTTGAATTATTTTGAAGTGTTTCGACGTTTGTAATTACGTTTTTGGAAAAAAAAAAAAAAAAGTTTTTTTGTTTTCTCTCTCTCTCTCTCTTTCTCCTGTTTTTTTTTCGGCTGTGGTTTTCCGTGCCTGAAAACAAAAAAAAAGGCTTTTAATTAATGAAACACATAATTACTTTATCACTCGTAAGGTTTTTAATTAGGGAAAAATATATTTTTTTTTCTTTTTAAATGTAATAATTAAAGGCCGCCGTAGTTTGTCCGTCGCCGTTGATGCCGCCACGATCTTTTCCCCTCTTGTAGGTTTTTATTATTAGCATTATTATTATTATTATTATTATTATTATTATTTGTTCTTTTACGATTGTTTTGTATTTGTTCTCGTTTACGATCAATTATTTATCAGCGACATGCTTTTCTTTTTTAACTTGAAATGAGAAAAAAAATAGAAGCCGATGAATATTTAAAAATTATTTCGTGGAACACTTTTATTTTAAAAAAAGAGAAAGAGAGAGAGAGAGAGGGTGAAAGATATAAAAAGAAAAGAGGGAGGGGAAGGGAAAGAGAAAGAAAAAGGGAGGGAAAGTAAAAATTTAAATGGAGTTTTACGATTGATTCGAAATTTAAATTTAAAAAAAAAAAAAAGAATTCGTCAGATGATTTGATTTCGATTCGAGTAATTTATTATTATTATTATTATTATTGTGATCATCATTATCATCATCATTATCATTATCATTACCATTAACATGATCTGATCATCATTACCATCATCATCATCGTCGTCATCTTGATGATCGAAATTTCCGTCGTAATGACGTATCGATTATTTAAATGAATTTTGTCGTGGTAGTAGTAGTAGTAGTGGTAGGAGTGACAGTGGCAGGAACTTCCTTTATAAAATGGTTTCTTTTTATTTAACAAATGCGAATTTTAATTGCTACAAAATTTTGTTTTTCTTTTCTTTTCTTTTTATTTATTTACGACGGGAAAAAAGTTTTATTCATCGTGACGGACGTTTTCGTTTCCCCTTTTCCACTCTCTCCCCTCCCTTCCCCATTTTTTGAGTTCCCAATAATAATAATAATAATAATAATTCATGTAACTTTCGATGAATAATAATAATAATTTGCGAGTAAATGAGATTAGTCACGGGTATGAAACATTAAAAAATTGTGTGCATCGCTCCTACCCTTTGCGTGCTGTTTTTTCTTTTTTTTTTTTCCTTCAAAAAAAGGAAAAATTATTCCAGTCAAGGTCATGAAAAAAAGTTAAGTACTTAATTATTCACATTCTGGAAAAATCCAAAAACGGACGTTCGTTTCCCCCCCCCTCTCTCTCTCTTTGTTTTTCAATTCTTCACAACAACACAAGCACAAACAATTTTTATTACTTAATTATTATTATTGTGAACTTCCGACCCCTTTTTTCGACGCGTCAAAATTATTACTTGATAATCATCATCATCATCATCATTATTATTATTATTATTAAAATTAATATTGATGACGTAACGTGAGCTCAATTTAAAAAAAAAAAAAAAAATTGAAAATTTTCGTCCCACGTATTATAAATAGATAATTTTTATTATATTATTGCGATGCGTGCGCGATACTTATTGTTATCATTATTATTATTATCAATAATATTTTTTCTTCTGCTATTTCAAAGTTCAAGAAGAATTTCCAATAATGATGATGATGATAATGGGGCCTTGTTTAAATGAATTATATAAACTTAGTAGTAAACATTTTTACGAATCGTATACTTAACTATCTGATGATAACAATGATGATGATGATAGTATTTACTATCATTATTATTATCGTTATTTATATTATTATTATTATTATTTTTGTAATAATAATTTTATAACGGTTTTTATATTTTACTTTTTTTTTTTTTTAAATTAATTTTGTGTGAATGTGGTGGCACAAATTTTTCCTGCGTTACACAAACACACACACGCGCACATTCTGTATACGTCATTATTATTATTATTATTATTACTATTACTTATACATATATATTCCTTACTACGTTGTTGTTGTTATTGTTGTTATTATTATTATTATTATTATTGTTTTTGTTGTTTTTCGAACTTGTTACTTAAACTCTACTTTTTAATGAAAAAAGAGAAAAAAACTACGCGAAATAATAATAATAATAATAATAATAATAATAATAATAATAATAATAATAATAATAATAATAATAATAATGAATTAAATATTTTTATTAAAACTGTGATCGCTTTAATAAGTACATACATAAGTAAATAAGTAAAGCGGGAGGGGAGAGGGGGAAGAGAAACGTCTTTGCGATTTTTAATAGATTTAAAAATTTTTTCTATCGTTAAAGGTTTCGTCATTATTTTTTTTTTAATCGATCGTCGTTCGCGTTCATTTATTGATCCATCGATCAATCGATCGATTGATCGATGCACAAAATGCGAGAGAGACTTAAGCGTTTTGTTTTTGAATTATTATTATTATTGTTGTTAGCATTATTAATAGTGACGTGAAAAAAAATTTTGGTGAAATGAAGTCGCCTTATTTACTTACTTAAACATAACCGCCCTTTTATCATCATCATTATTATTATTATTATTATTATTATTATCGTTGACGTCATCGTGATGATGAAAAATTTGTCTCTCTCTTTAATGAGAAATTATTCATCGTTTGATTTGATACGCATTGCGTTGCGTACTAGGGAGGGGGAGGTTGTGTGTGTGCGTGCGCGTGCTGTCGCTTGCTGTTGTAAGAACGGGCGTCGTAAGTATCGACGAAAAAGTTTAAATAATATTATTATTATTATTATCAACACACGGGGATTCAAAGTTTTTTTTTTTAACGGAGGGGGGGGAACAAAAATTTTCGATCGTTCAACCCTTTTTTATCATTATTATCATATATTTATTAACTTACACTTACTTACTTATTTACTTATTTAATAAAGTAATAAAGCATGGCTGTGTTATTTTATTATTATTATTAAATGAAAGGAATATAATTATTATTATTATCGTTATCATTTTTTTTTCACACGTAGCATAAATAAATTATTTGATTTCATTATTATTATTTATTAGTTTTTTTTTTTTTTTTCTTCTTATTTTTATCGACAATCGACCGATGATTTGACATTGCTGTTATTATCATCATTATTATTATCATTATTATCATTATTATTTTTCAATAAAAATGTTTACGCGCATTTTACGCGTTATCGATAAGGAGGAAATTTTTTTAATCGTCGGTCAAACAATCAAATAAATAAATTAATTTTAATTAAGGATAATTAATAAAAGACAAAATAATAATAATAATAATAATAACGATGATGATGATGATGATAATTGCGTTTGCTATTATTATTATTATTATTATTATCAAATAAATTTTACGAATTGTGATAATCGTGTGCCTTATAAATTATATTGAAAGCCGTCTAATTGTTTTTTTTTTTTTCTCTCCTAGCTTTGGCTGAATTATTACAATTATTATTATTATTATTATTATTATTATTATTATTATTATTATTATTAGTGATAATAATAATAATTATTTTGTAAATTACTTGTAAAAAGTATAAAAATTTATTATCATTATTATTATTATTAATATTATCAAATAAATTATTATTAAATATGAAGTTTTGTTTATTTAAAAAAAAAAAAAAAAAAAATTCTTTCTGGTGTTTGTTTATT